TATATAATTTCTTCCATTTACATGTCATTTTATATGCTTTTTTTATGATTGTCTAGTCTACTGTTGTCATCTGTGTTCTTTGTTTAAAACAGGTCTCTCTTGTAAATGAGTCCTCGTGGCTCAATGAGACTAACCTGTATAATTAAAAGTTGAATGATTGGTCAAGGTTTAATGGCAACAGGATCATTAGAAAGTGAACTGGTGCAGAAAAGACCTTCAGCGAACCAAAGTGTGCAAAGTCTGCTGCTACATATGTCATTTTTTTCTCAGAAGCACCATACGTATATTTTCATCTCTACTTTAGAAAACTAATTTTAAAATCTCTATTTTTCCTCATTAAAAAAATAATTTGCATGTTGACAAGAGGTTCAAAGGGAGTAAAAAATGTCTAGAGTAATGTAGATTGGGCCTTAATTAAATGTATGTAACCCATTTACAATTCATATCTGAGCTGGGCCTGATGCAGCTTTATCATACTTTAAAACAAGTTGAAATATCCAAATGCTCATTAAACTCTAAATGTTATATAATATGTCCTCTTGTTAACGCAAATCACCAAAACTGAGTTAAGTTGAGCAGAATTTGAACTAGGGCTGGGCGATATAGACCAAAATTAATATCAATATTTTTAAGATAAATCGCAATATATGATATATCTCGATATTCAAACATATAGTTCATAGTTCATGGCAAAAACCAATGCAGACACGTTCCTGTTGTTAGTATTTTATATTGCTTTATAGTAAAGCTGTTTTTGTTTTGTTTTTTTAATATCATTTTCTTCCATTTATTTTTTCAATTTATATGCTATCTTTTTTCATTGACCACTGTTGTCATCATTCTTTGTTTAGAACAGGACTCTGTTGTAAATGAGTCCTCGAGGCTCAATGAGACTAACCTGCATAAATGAAGGCTGAATGAAAAAACTGAATTCATCATTCTTCCACTGGAATTAAATGTCTTTCCCACATGCAGTGGCAATTGTAGCCTCTTTTTGGGGGTGCTCAAGCACCCCTAAAATTTATTAAATTTTTTTTTTTGCCGTTCTGGGTTTAGATTTTGGGTTCTGTTTATTGCATATATAATACGATGCAATAAAATAAACAAATTTAAAATGCAACAGATCATTGACATTCTTGGTTTATTTACATAATGATTTTAATTGCTGGATGTCCAGCCCCTGAGCTGCTGGCTTTCAGAAACTGCCCCCCCCCCCCCCCCCCCCCCCCCCCCCCC